GGAACCTTCAGTTGTCATATTCCAATGGAATCGCTTCTGTTTAAAAAGGGAAAGAAAAATATCACATGAATTGATATAATAGAAATTTTAAATGAATAAAATACATAAATAAAATGATAGTAAAATGGAATTTATGGGTATAATTAGTATATGAATATTATAGTAGAAGGAGACACAATTACGTATCAAAAGATGTACCAAAACAAGTATAATGGGTGTTGAAACAAGTCTGGTAAGAGAGAAAGTATATTGAAGAAGCTCGAATGAACTAGGCTAAACTTGGAAGTAAGGCCAAATGCTCTGTTAGAAATTATATGTGACGATTAGAGGAAATTATCAAGAAGTCTCATGAAGGAGGTTAACTGCAATATCAGTGGTCCACCTAAATGGACATTCATTATGTACTTGGCTATACTGGGATGATTATACACCAGAGATAGGTTTATTGGATGGGGCATTGTTGATTATATGAGTTGTCCAATGTGCGGAGATACAAACGATACTATAGAGCACTTGCTTTATCAATGTACTTCCTCCCACAACGTATGGACTAAGTTGTTATAGTGGCAGGGCATAACAAGAGCTCCTATGGGACGGAAGGATGAAGTAGACTGGGCAAGTAATTTAATGAAAGGAAAGAGGCACAAAGCAGATATATAGAGAGTTGTCTTGGCTGGTAGTGTATACCATATTTGGATGGAAAGGAATCAACATATTTTCAAAGGCACACCAAGACAACATGAAGTTATAGTTAGACAAGCTATCCAAGAGGTGTTTCATAAGAGTAATAACAATAGGAAATTTTGCTTCATTATTAGAAACGATGAACTTGTATCCCTAAATATTCTTTTTTTTCTAGATGTAGCAGATGAGACAACCTAAGTTTATCTTTTAGCTAGTTGTAGTGGTTCTGCTTCATCATCTATGTTTTTCTTTTGTTCTTGTTTGATCTGTACAGTTCTACTTTCGTAATAAATCAATAGTTACTAAGAAAAACGGATAGTATAGTTTACCTTAAACTCCTCCCAGTAGAAGTCCTTAATCTCTGGTGTAACTGACTTCCAATCATATCCTTCGGGATCCAATTTTTCCTTAAAGATTTTTGTGATTGCCCGAGATACATCGTTACTTGGCTCCAAACTTGTATAAATATAACATGCAATTATTTCAATACTCAATTTTATTTATCTACATCAAGCAGTTGTTAGAGTGTATTATCAGTGTCTTTATCAACATATAAGAGCTGAAGAGGTAGAGGAAGTAAGGAAGAATAATATGAAATTTATGAAAGTATTATCAAAGAGACCATCATTAGACATAAATTATAAAATCCTACTATTATCGTATCCTGAAATGACTAGCTGTGAGGATCCCATACGAAGCTTGGAACAAGTAAAAAAAATTCTAGTATGAATTCTAATGATATACTGCAAAAGATAAGAGAAACTTGAGGAAATAAGGACTGTTGAGATTAAAGAAATGTCACACCATAGACACTAATATCAAATCAGATTCTAAAAAATGCACCATGTAGTTGATGTCTACATGAAAAACAGCTATAGGGTGGGAGTAAAATAGAAGACAATTATTGATTAGAAAAATAGGCTCAAGTATGTCATTTTCAAACTCAAAAGTGTTATTTCCTTATACAAGAAGTACCAACGAGTAATAAAAGCAAAACATAAACTGAAATATCACTCAAAATAATTAACATGTACTCTGCAGTTCATGTTCTCAATTTTCAAATAAACATATTCTGCAAATAACAAGAAAATAGCCTCTTGAATTCATCAGATGAGTACCTCAAATGCAGACATAGAATTCAGTGAGCTTAAGAAAATTATAGAGAATTTCACATATTCCTACCAATTCTTAGTCCCTTAGTAAGATATGATCCAGTGGGAAAAGAAGAAACATACTTTTGAAAGCAAAGTAAACAATAATTTTGCCACACAATCTGAATATGTAGATCAAGAGCAAAAGTTCTAGGAACTGCATATTCAACTTTGTAATTCGAACATGTAGATCAAGAACAAAAGGTCTGGAAATTCATTCTACAAATTTGATTCCTTTCCATGTTCTGTAGCGGCATTCAACTATTTCTTCTTTTATAAGAGAAATGTAGACATCAGTTAACAAGCTACTTTCTTGAAGAATGATTTTTCAGAAACACCTCAATTCTGTAATTCATTCCCATCATTGCAATTTAAGAAAGCCAACAAAACTTTGAAAGATTTATAGAAAAATAGTATGGAAAGAAAATCAATATGGCTTATTTTCTTGCCTGAAGCAAAACAATTAAATGAAACGATGTTGTACACTTACCATCCCAGGACAATTTCAATTCGGGTGCGGGTATCATCAGTTGTATTTGACGAAGTTGTAGATACAATGTCATTTCTAGGTGTTTCTATCCCCATAGATGAAGATGGTACCGATATGTTGACAACAACTGAATCCGGCATAACTGGTGTCGGCACTTCAGGCAATGATGGTGCTTGATCAGGTGTGAAACTAGATATTTGAGGAGATGTCACTGGATCTGATGTTCTTTCTCCAGAATATCTGATTCGTCCACCCCCCCTTGGTGCCATATCTGCAATTTCAAAGTTACATATGGATGAAATAATAACATAATAATTGAATCATGGCCAGTTTGGTCAAATTATAACAAGAACAGGTAATTAGTAGATATATCACTTCAAGAACAAGATGCCTCTGAATTAAAAAAATGTGTTAACCTAGACAATAGATAAAAACATAAACACTGCAAAGAATAAAGTTATTGCATCACTATTCAAAACATAGATCTAGAATGGTCTACTTCATATTACGAAATGAGAGTGAGGGATAGTTGCTCAAACAAAACAACCTGGAGAACAATTAAAACAAAATAATTACACTGGTAAAGGAGAAATATAAATTGGAGACATTTAAAATTCAGAACTTTGTCAGCAAGAAATGTAAAATCTAATTGAAATAAAATTAGCTTATATACTACGTTTCAGTCGCTCTAACTCTTATATTTGAAGAGATTAGAGCTAAGCACTTCGACTCTATTCACTGCCACTTTCACAGTATGCCTTTTCATTCTCATTTTCATCATCTGATTCTAATTCTGGTTCATCATGAAATTCTGTCTCATCATCTAAATCATCATTCTCATCTCTTAAATTTATGAATTCTCCATTTGGATCATTTCGGACAACATTTTCATTATCGTACACCACATCAAATCTTAAACCATCTCCGTCACATTGGAATGGCTCTGCAACATCTACTATAGGAGACGATAAATATGACGGAGGCATAACCACAACACCCCGAGCTTTTGTTTTGCACACAGCCCACCAATCATTCTTATCACGTCGTAAGCTAGGATAAGAAGCATAATACACTTGAGCTGCTTGCATTGCCAAAACAAATGGTTCATACTTCTTCAATTTCCTTTTATGGTTGATATCCACAAGTTTATATTGTGGGTGAATCTTCATTCCAACATTTGGTGTGGGGTCAAACCATTCACATTTAAATAAAACTGTTCTTTTGATCGGTGTACTGCCCTTGTACTCCAATTCAAGAATTTCAGTAAGCACGCCATAGTAGTCATTGTCGTCTGCACTATAATTGGTTCCTTTTATGCAAACGCCACTGTTATCAGATGCTCTAGAAAAACTGCGACCTTTAGTGTGAAATTTAAAGCCGTTGACATTATAACCAGTGTATTGTTTCGCTGATCGACATGGACCTTCTGCAAGCGCCTTGATGAACTGATTATCTATGTGGACTCAAGCCTATTAAATTAAAACAATTAAGAGTTTCTTATAAATGAAATAAGTACAGATGGAAAGATATTGTACAAGTGCTCACATATCTTCTGAACCATGATGCAAAATCTTTATCAAGTTTCTTATCCACTTCCTGCTCCGTAATTCGTGGAAAATTTTGATGAAGGGAGTCAATAAATTTCCTTTGGATCACATATAAGAAAAAGAATATGTAAGTATTTTGATAAATATAATGTATAAATGTAAACAAAAGCTTGAAAGCTTACTCCACATATGGTTGCACTTCTCTGCAATTTAGTAAAATATAAATATGAGCTGCTTTGAGTTCTTCTTCGGTTAGATATCTCCTATTTAGTTCCCCAAATCCTCGACCTGGATAGGTGAATATAGAAAGATTACCATTGTATCTATCTTGTTCGCCTATGCCACCATCGTCATTTCGTGGCACTTTTCTATGCCTTGTGTAAACATGAGGCTCGAAGTAGTGTGAACAGAAGGATGAACCTTCATCAACTATATACGCATTGCATATACATCCTTCAACATGTGCCTTATTTCGAACATTATATTTATATTTTCGAAGGTTTCTGAAAATAGTACAAAAGCTCAAGGCGTTAGTCATTCATAATGATGAAAATGAAGTACTTAAATAACCAAGTATATTTTAGTGGTTATGGACATATAAAAGGATTGTCATAAGGACTGTAAGGTTATTTAAGTGTTGTCTAAGAAGGGAAGGTTACTGGTTGGCTCCTCTCCAAGCTTTGTATTGTCGCTTAGTGATTAACAAAATCAGTTTAATTGCCCAAAAAAATGAAGTACTTGAATACATAAATGAAATCTTACCTCTCAAATGGATACATCCATCGATATTGTACCGGACCAGCTAGCATTGCTTCATAAGCGAGATGCACAGGGAGATGCTCCATTGAATCAAAGAAGCTAGGAGGGAATACACGCTCTAATTTACAAAGTATTTCAGGTATTTCTTGTTGAAGTCGTACCATATCCTCTTCACGTATTACTGTAGCAGTGACATCCCTAAAGAAAAGACTCATCTCAGTAAGTGCTTCCCACACCTTTTTTGGTAATAGCTCACGGAATGCAATAGGAACCAATCTTTGCATGAATACATGACAATCGTGACTTTTCATACCAAATAACTTGTGTTTTTTCATGTCGACACACCTTCCCATATTTGAGACATATCCATCAGGAAACTTCAGATTTTTCACCCATTCACACAACAATTTTTTTGACTTTTCTTTTAGTGTGTAAATAGCTTTCGGGTATTTTCCATCAACAACATGTAATTCAGGTCGTCGACAGAACTCTTTCAAGTCTTCTCTAGATTTTGGGTTATCTTTTGTTTTACCATCTACATCCAGCACTGTGTTGAACACATTCTCAAAGAAGTTCTTCTCAATGTGCATCATATCTAGATTATGCCGAATGAGATTGGTACTCCAATATGGCAAATCCCAGAATATGCTTCTCTTCTTCCAATCAGAAAACCTACTAATCCGATGATTAATAATATCAGCCCCAAGTTCTGTTACCTTTTTAAGTCCCAGTTCTTCTATCTCCTTTAAGACATCTTCACCTGACCGGAATGGGGTAGGCTGCATGGTTACTACTCTATTCTTTCTAAATGAGCTCTTATCTTTTCTATATGGATGATTCAGTGGCAGAAACTTACGATGGTTGTCAAACCAGGACTGCTTACCACCTTTTGTCAAAGTAAAAGCATCAGAATTCTCCATACAATATGGACATGCTAGCCTGCCTGCAGTACTCCATCCAGACAACATTGAATATGCAGGAAAGTCACTGATTGTCCACATCAAAGCAGCTCGCATTTTGAAATTTTGCTTCGTAGAGATATCGTATGTGTTGACACCTATATTCCATAGATTCTTCAATTCAGCAATCAAAGGCTGCAAGAAAACATCTAGTTGCTGCTTAGGATTCTTTGGCCCAGGAACTATAACTGACAAAAATAAATAGGGATCTTTCATACACATCCAAGGAGGCAAGTTGTATGGTGTCACTATTACTGGCCAAGATGAATATTGTTTCCCCGTTTGTCCAAATGGTTGAAACCCATCTGTTGATAGCCCCAATCTAACATTACGACTTTCCTCTGAAAAAGATGGATGCTTCTTATCAAAGTGCTTCCAGGCAGGTGCATCTGAACAGTGACGCATTACACCTTCCTCAACTTCATGTTCAGCATGCCATTGCATGTGAGAAGCAGTTGCTTTGGAAGCATACAGTCGTTGAAGTCGTGGAGTAAGAGGAAAGTAATACATCTGTTTAAATGGTACAAGATTTTTCTTTGAAACAAATCTTTGTCTTGTAGGCTTGTACCTGGGATGACTACAAAATTTGCAATTTACAAGCTCGCTATCCTCTCCCCAGTAAATCATGCAGGCATTGACACAAGTATGAATTTTTTCAACTGGCATGTTCATTCCCCTCATTAACTTTTTAGTTTCATAGAAATTTTTTGGCATCACATTATCAGGCGGAAGCATCTCACTCATATACTGACAAATTTCATCAAAACATCTATCAGAGAGGTGGTGTTCAGTCTTGATGTGCAACAACCAAGAAACAGCTGATAATTTTGAGTGTGTTTCACAACCAGGCCACACTTCTTGATTTGCAGAATCAAGCATATCATAAAAACTTTGTGCATCAGGATTAGGTAATTCTTCCATATCATCTGGAACAAATGCGGGACCAGCAGCCTCATGAACCATTCTATGATATGATGTAGTAGGTGTAGGATCATCAAATGCACCAACATTCACGGGTAGGTTATTCATAGTATGATCCCGTGGTATCCTTTCATCTTGATCTATGCTTCTCGCAACTTCATTTTCTCCATGCAAGTACCATACATGATATCCCGGTACAAAACCTTCTTTTAATAAATGACCATGGACAGTATGAACATTTTCAAAGTTTCTATTTTGACATTTCTTTCGGTTACATGGGCACCTTAGTCTCTCACCGTCCCTCCCTTCTGGATGACTCATAGCAAACTCAATAAAATGTTGTACACCCCTTATGAATTCAGGATCATATAGACCTTTGGCTAATCTTTTGTACATCCATTGACGATTTGAACTCATTTTACTTATAAACCTTCTATTCTGATAATGTGAGAAGGGTAAATATTGAAACAAAAACACACCGAGAATTGAAAAGAAGAAATTTGCAGTATAACAGAAAATGGAATATAGAATAATGTTATTTGTTTTAACTTTGAACTGGAAATCTCTATTTTTTACAACAGGTATGCAAGTTGTATATATATAAACTAAATAACAACCTTTTCTCCTAAAATAACTCCAACAAAGTCCTATTCAAATAAATAGTAATAGGATATCATTCCTAAATAACGGGAATAGAAATATTTGACTCAATTAACTTAAAAACAATCACAAGCTAAAACAATATAAGAGAACATAAGAAGATGCACTAATTTTTAACAAATGGCATTATAATTATAAAATATTTGAATAGTTAAAAAGGGTGCAATTTATAATCAAGGCAGCAAGACAAATGTTTCCACTGAAGCTTCATTTTTTAGTACCTTCGTATAATCAAAACTTCATAAAACATGTAACTCAAAATATGAAGGCAATGAAAAGTATTATGTTCTTCTACATCTTTTGTAGTTTTAAACATGTAACAAATGGCATTATAATTATACTGTGATTGAAATAGTATAAAAATATAAACTTATCTTTTAGCTGGGGGCTCAAAAATAGTGTACCGAATAGTGAACCCAATTCACAACTATGTTAGAGAAATTGACAGGGGATCCAAAAACACAAGTCTATATATTCACTATATGAATGCTGTATATTAATTGAACAAATAGAGCACATTTGAAGTTCTACAATTGACTGATTGTATCAAACAAAAAGGAGAAACTAAGCTTTTTTTTTTTTTTTTTTTTTTTACCGTGGTTTCCGGGCGTCGCTTTGCGAACCCGACTAGCTGTACCCACCGGGTCCCGCTGTTTCAAGGCGGGTCCACCACGGTTAGTTCCACGGGGCCCTGGAGACACGGCCAGTTTGTAATGCCTCCAGTGGCCCTGCTGGGGCTCGAACCGGCGACCTGAAGGACTTTGTCCCAGGCCTTTACCAGCTGAGCTACCCCTCAGGGTTGAAACTAAGCTTGATAAAGAATACTTACCACTTAGCGGAAAGGATAGTGAAACTGAGAATCCAAGAGCCACAGATGAATTGCGAGTGAGTGTAGTCGGAGACAGTCTTTAAAATGAGATGAAATGAAAATGATTTAGATAAAGTACTGATACTGAACGTGGGCAGAAATTAGAGAAAAAAACGGAATAGTGGCGAAAGTCTCTGTAATTTAGGGAGGTGGGGAGTTTAGCGGAAAAGTTTTTGCTTTTTTTTCTCTTCTTTTCAACTTTTCGTTTTTTTTCTTTCAAATATAATGAATTTTTCCAATTTTTATTTGAAGTATTTGTACAATTCTTTTAAGATTCTTTTTTATTCACCAGAAATAAAAACAAAAACAAAACCCAATCTTTAAATTGATGAAATTAAAATACTAAAAATGTAATAATATGTAGGAATTGAAACAAGCATGAAATCTACAACAAGCTAAGTACATCAGCAAAAACAAGCAACACATGCAATGATTAATTGAACAAAAGAGGGGTGAATGAGGATGAAGACATACCCAGCAACACGATGTGGGTCTTTCTGTATATACGAGATGCAGTCCATGAGTTGTTATACTCTTGAAAGATTAAAGACCTTATTTGCTCTAAGAAATACTCCATATATCAAATCACTGCAGCGAATTAGAGCTTGAGATGAAAACTTAGGCAATTTGTAGTTGAATCCGTTCAACTCTTGAGAGGAGATCTATCATTGATCTGTAGAGGAACTTAGAAAACAGATCAGTAAGAAAATTACCCAGTTCGATCTAGCTTTGCTTAGAAATTCTTGATGAAATTTGTTCTTCTTCATTCAGCTTTTTGTTTCTTGTTCATTGTAGCTTAGAAATTCTTGATGGAATTTGTTCTTGTTCACTGAAGCTTAGAGATTCTTGATGAAGATTACCTAGTTCAACCTAGTAAGAATCAAGTGAGCTGATTTTTGTTTCTTGTTAATATCGCCTGCCTTTGTTGTTCTTTTTGGACATTTTTTGTTTGTTTTTTTAAATTAAATTTGGGATCCTTTCATTTGATAACTCAGAACAAAAGGAAATACACACTAGCTCACGCCTATTGCCCAAGTCTGTAATGGCAAAAAGAAAAATTAAAAAATAACTAAACATTTTTTGCTTTCTATATTATTTAATAAAATGTCATCTACTAAGTTATATATTTATATGTTAAGTGGGTTTTTTTTAAAAAAAATATAAGGGTGAAACTATAAATAAAAAATATTTCGTACTTTTTTTTATCCTAATTTATTTGATATAGTTAATTTAATTGGACAAGAATGAGTGAGATCCAACGTGGATACAATGTTGATAATGTTGAAAGATTTTTCATATAAAGAAATGTGTCATTTTTTTCGTATTGACTAAATATAAAATTATTTAGAGTGTAGTATGTAAACACGTTACATGACATATCTTTATTTTCACATGATATATATATATATATATATATCTCAACTACTTTAATTAACTTTGCAATAAAATATATTTGTGTATCCATGATTGTAGATATTTTGTGCTGACTAAATGAGTCATTTCTAATAGTTCGATAACATATTGGAGCTTTTCGCTAACTACAAATTAGGTCTAATAAAGATTTATAGCTAATATTTTTAAAGTTCGTACATGATATTAAATTAATATTAATAGTAATACACATATTTCAATAGACACGTTCATCACAATTGTAGACTTAAATCAAAAGAAAGAGGCCTCTACTACTTCTTCGTACAACCCAAACATACCATCCTATTAGACCAGAAATGACCTTCCGGAGCTAACCGCACAGACGAAATTCTAATCCTAGCACCTTTACGATTTTTTTTAACAAATTAAATTTTGGCTAAAATTTGAAAGATAAAACGTCTAACGGCACAAAAAACGAAAGACTCAAAAGCCGAACCAATGATCCTATTAGACAAAAAATGACCTTTCCGAGCTAACCGCATTGACAAAATTTTCATTCGAGCATGTTTACCAAAACTGTTGACCGAAGTCAAATTTGGCCAAAACATAAAAGATTTACGCCAAACGGCACAAACTGATCAAAATGAAAGCCTCAAAACCCGAACCAATAATCATATTAGACCAAAAATGAAATTTCAAAGCTAAGCCCACCGATGGATTTCTCATTAGAGCACCTTTAACAAAAAATTTGACCAAACTCAAATTTTGGCCAAAAGTTAAAAGTTAAAAGGCCTACCGGCACAAACTGAAAAACAAAAACCAAAGCTAACCGCGCTGATGAAAATTTAATCTACTAGACCAAAAATGACCTTCCAAAGCTAACCGCGCTGATGAAAATTTAATCTTAGCACATTTACCAAAAATATTGACCAAATCTAAATTTTGGCCAAAACTTAAAAGTTAAAATGCCTAACAACACAAAGTGAAAATGGAAAAGCCTCAAAACCTGAACCAACCATCCTATTGGAGAAAAAATGACCTTCTGAAGCTAACCGCACTGATGAAATTCTCATTGAGCATGTTTACAAAAAATGTTAAGCAAAGTCAATTTTTGGCCAAAAGTTAAAAGTTAAAATGCCTAACGACAAAAACTAAAAATGAAAACCTCAAAACCGGAACAAACCATCCTATTAGACAAAAAATGACATTCTAGACACAACTACACTAATGGAATTCTCATTTGACCACGTTTACCAAATATATTGACCAAATCTAAATTTTGGCCAAAACTTAAAAGTTAAAACAAACACCTAACGGTACAAACTGAAAATAAAAGTCTCAAAACCCGAACCAACAATCTTATTAGACCAAAAAAGAAATTTCAAAGCTAACCGCATTGACAGGTTTCTCATTTGAGCACATTTGCCAATTTTTTGACCAAAGTTAAATTTTGGCCAAAAGTTAAAAATTAAAACGCCTCTTAGAACAAACTGAAAACAAAACCCTCATAACCAAACGAACAATCCTATTAGAAAAAAAAATCTTCCAGATACAACTATGCTGACAGAATTCTCATCTGACCACGTTTACCAAATATATTGACCGAATTAAATTTTTACCAAAACTTAAAAGTTAAAACGCCTAACGACATAAACTGGAAATGAAAGCCTCAAAACCCGAACCAACAATCATATTAGACCAAAAATGAAATTTCAAAGCTAAGCCCTTTGATGGATTTGTCATCTGAGCACGTTTGCAAAAAATGTTAAGCAAAGTCAAATTTTGGCCAAAAGTTAAAAGTTAAAACGCCTAACGGCACAAACTGAAAATAAAAGCCTCAAAACTCAAACCAACCGTCCTACTAGACCAAAACCTTCTGAAGCTAACGATGCTAATGAAATTTTAATCTGAGCACGTTTATCAAAAATATTGACCAAATTTAAATTTTGGCCAAAACTTAATAGTTAAAACGCCTAACAACACAAACTGAAAATAGAAGCCTCAAAACCCGAACCAACCATCCTACTAGACCAAAAATGACCTTCCAAAGCTAACTGCGCTGATGGAATTTTACTATTAGCACATTTACCAAAAAAATTGACCAAATCTAAATTTTGGCCAAAATTTAAAAGTTAAAACGCCTAACATCACAAACTAAAAATGGAAGCCTCAAAACCTGAACCAACCATCCTATTGGATAAAAAAATGACCTTCCGAAGCTAACAACGCCGACAAAATTCTCATCTGACCACGTTTACAAAAAATGTCACGCAAAATAAAGTTTTTGTCCAAAAGTTAAAAGTTAAAATGCCTAACGGCACTAACTGAAAATGAAAACCTCGAAACCCGAACAAACCATTCTATTAGATAAAAAATGGCATTCCATAAAGCTAATCACACTATGGAATTCTAATCCGAGCATATTGTTTACCAAAAATATTGACCAAAATCAAATTTTGGCTAAACCTTAAAAGATATTGAGCAAAGTCATTTTTGGTCATCGCGGTTAGCTCCGGAA